TCCCCATAATGCAACGCGCGCAGCGTTTGTTTTAATGTGAAACGTTTTTTGCTAGTTGCTCCGGATTTCCTGAAGCCGTGGCCTGTGACGTCGCATGACATTGCAGTTTCCCCGCTAAAATTAGCTGAAAAATTGACGCCACGTGACCTCAACACCAATTCAGTTTCCCCGCTAAATTTAGCATGGAAAATGGCATCACATGACTTTGTGTCACGTCACTTATGAACAAATTCAGTTTCCCCGCTAGATTTAACGGGAAGATTGATGTCACAAGGCCTCAACACCAATTCAGTTTCCCCACTGAATTTAGCGGGGGAAAACAATGTCACATGACTTAGTCAGAAAGTCGGTTCCCTCACAAAATTTAGCGGGAGGACTGACGCCACATGACCTCAACACCAATTCATTTCATCGCTAAATTTAGCGGGGAAACTGAATCGGAGTTGAGGTCATGTGACGTCGGTTTTCCTGCTAAATTTATCGGGAAAACTGAATGCTCAGTGTTGCATTATGGGACATCACAGACCTGCACGCCAATTACGTTTCTTCGCTAAATTTAGCGGGGGATGCAACTGGTGTAAGGTCTGTGACGTCCCATAATGCAACGCAAGATTACGCCGACGGCGGTGCTGACACCGACACCGACGCCGCTTAATGCGGAAATGGATGCCTAAGAGCTGTGCTCTAAAAAAAATGTGGTCGGTTGTAGACAGGTGACTTCCGGCGATAAGCTTTCGTGGTCGCGTTTCGGTTTTGAGCAGTTGAGTTTTTTGGTTTTATTGAAACTATACTTGACTCTGCAGCAAAATATTTATTGTGTAGTCTCCTGACTTCATCTTAAATCGCCCGGCAAAACATTTACAAAAGTTTTGGGGGGTGTCAGTGCTTTAGTGCATTAGTGAGAGGGTGATATAACATAGATGGTCAACCCTTATACGACATGCCAAGCTCGTATAGGAATTCGCCATGCCACTGGAAGAGCAAACATTTATTTCCTGAAAGTTTGGCCTACGGCCTTGTGCCTCGTGACCAACTCTCTGTGGACCAAATTTCTGCTCACAGGCTGACCTGCAAAATGTTTTCAGGAGAGCTGAGAATCTTTTTTTTTTTTTCTCTCTTCACAATCGTCAGTGTGAGAGGGAAGGAGCAAGTTTTGTATGGACTTCATGTGATAAGATCAGTGGTCACAGGATCGATGTACGAGGGGGAGGGTGGTGCCTGTTGGATTCCTTACCTTTGACTGCTGGAAAAGGAGGAAAGTCACTTTTTTCCTTTTTTCAACTGCAGGTTAACCTTTAAAAGCATTTTTACATGTCAATTTCTTCTTTTTTCTTCTTCACACTCTTAGTGGGTCTTGGATTTCAGAAATCTTATTTTTTACTCGGAGAAAAAGATGTCTTTTTCTTCAAATCCATCCTGTGTCATGTCTTTTCTTTTTGCTTTCCCCCTGTTTGATGATTTTAACAATGTTGTGTCAATATCAGTGCATAATAAAATAACTGACTCCCTGAATATTAAGAAATTTTTTTCAGTAAGTTTTGGATTTCAGAAATCTTAATTTTTACTCGGAGAAAAAGATGTCTTCCACGTGAAATCCATCCCGTGTCATGTCCTTTCTTTTTGCTTTCCCCTGTCTGACGATTTCGACAATGTTGTGTCAGTATCAGTGCATAATAAAATAACTGACTCCCTGAATGTTAAGAAATTTTTTTATCATTTTGCTGTTGAGTGTAATAACCATATACATGAAAGGTATTTGTATATCTAATGCCTTCTTCAACCTCTTTTTAAGAAAAAAAGTTATTGCTTGGTTGCATTTGAATGAAATTCTTTAGGTATTTTCTTAACACATTCCAAAACAAAGCAAGTCCCGTGTAACTTTTTTTTTTTTAAAGCTTCCAAGTTTTTGTAAAAGAAAAGGGAAATCTCTGAAAGAATGGCAAAGAAAAGGAAAAACCCTTGAAGGAATGTGTCACTTCTCCAAAAGTGTGATGAGGCTGTTTGAACATTAAATTTAGAATTACATTATTGGTTCTTTTACAATCTTTTCCCTCACAAATATGCCACGTCTCCAATTTCAGATCTTGACAATGATGCCAAGAAAACTTTTCCTAATATATATATATACAAGGTTTTTTTTTTTTTTAAGCTTAACAGGTTTGTTTAAAAAAAGCCGTGAAAGCTACTCTTATGCCGCTTGTGGAGGTGCGTTATACAACCAGGGGGACATATTATAGGGGGCTAATCGTAATGATCAGTCGGATAATTAATTAAAATTTGTTAATTAACTTTTTAATTAATGAAAATAGACATATGGTTCCAATTGGAAACTTGCTCAGCGTCATCGAAAACCACTAAATCAGTCATTTTCAGAAAGACTTTTAGCGCATGAGAAGCGTAGTAGTGCACTAAAGTTACCTCTCGTGGAGCACGTACAAAGCTAGCGGTTGCGATAAGGCGCCGACGCGATTTTTCCGTCTCTTATCTAGCCCCAGCCTTGTACCTGCTCCACGAGTGGTAACTTTAGTACAATACTACGCTTCTCACGCGCCGAAAGGCTTTCTGAAAATGACTGATTTAGTGGTTTTCGTTGACGCTGAGCAAGTTTCCAATTGGAACCATATGTATATTTTCATTAATTAAAAAGTTAACTAACGAATTTTAATTAATTAGTCGACTGATCGTTACGATTAGCCCCCTATAATATGTCCCCCAGGCCGTATAACTCACCTCCACAAGCGGCATAAGTGTAACTTTGACGGCTTTTTTTAAACCAATCTATTAAGCTTAAAAAAAAAAAACCCTGTATATATATTATTTTTAGTGTCAGGGGCTCTTAATTTGAACAATCTTGTTCGGGTGTCAATTTGCCCAATACGCTTTACTGTGGAGGATTATTTTTATACATTTGTGCTGATTTGCGTATGGAAGTTTCTTGAGCTTAGCAGCTCACCGTTTTCTTCCTTTTTATTTTTGCAGTGGACGGACAACTGAGCAACAAAGAGTTTGTGTCTGTGATGAAGGAACGGCTTCACCGGGGGCTGGAGAAGCCAAAGGACACTGGATTTGTGAAGCTCATCAATTCGGCCGTGAAATGTGCGAAGCTCAAGAAACCTGTGCTGCTTGATATTTGAACTTCCTTGGCCAGTGACTCCCATCTCTCTGTTTCTGGGAGTTTTGGCACGACCGCCGGCTTTTGAAGCTTCGTGCTAGGTTACAGTAACCTCGTAGATTGCTTGCTGAAAAATGTTGAGCCAGTGCTTGTAGAGTTTTGAGTGCTCCGTAGAAAGAACGCTGTGCCGAAATAAATTTGTTTGTTCTGAAATGGTGGTAATGGCTGTAACCGCTTGGGGCGGTGGGAGATCCACTGACAACGTCGTGCGCGGGGCTTATCTGTAACTGAGTGCTCGGAGGTGGCTGCACTGCAGGGTTGCAGTTTGAAAACCAGATGCCGAAGTTTCCCTTGCCGTTATCCGATTCAAATGTTAAAGGCTATTTTCTGAAATTTTAAATGAGAAAATGGGATCCATTCCCAGTAGCCAACTTATATTTTTTTTACTTAAAATTCCCGAAAATCCATCACTTTTTAATTGAATAGCGGCAAGCTCTGAAACTCTGGCATCTGGTTGGAACCCCTAGCAGAGACTGACTGTTCAACAATACATAGTTTATCTTTGCGGTAAAAATCTGGTAAAAAAAAAAACACTACTTTGTTTTCTTTTTTCTTTTTTTTTTCCCTTTTTTAGAGGCAGTGTGGGAAATGGTTTGGTTTGCTTCTTGATTTCTGTAAAGTGTACATTTTTGCTTTGGTTCTTTTGGAAAAAATTTTAATGTAATGCGGTGTTTTTTTCCGGGCCCAAGAATTTGGACGTGGGAACGCTTGCGTGTAAGAGAAACAATTCTGCAATCCCCTGCAAGAGCAACATCTCACTCGCCTTTACAACACAGCCAATTCCAAGGATTAGGTGAAAAAAAAAAAAAAAAACATTTACCCGGTTTTTTTAACTTGAGAGTTTTTAGTATGGATCTGTGTGGGTTTGGCGCAAGTGAGTGTAAAGATCTTAAGCAGCAAATCTAAATCGGCTAAATAATGCTGCATCCTGTGACGTCCCAAGTTTGCACAAAAGGTCTGCTTCCCACTTCTTCCAGGTGGCGGTTTTTGTTTCTCTTTCGGAAATTGTACTCATGCTCAGTGGCGTATCAACTTGTTTTGAGGGGGGGCAAAGGCAAGCCAGACCCCTCCCCCCTTGCCTTGTCTCTCTCTCCCCCGCCACCCCCCCCCCCCCCCCCCTCTGAAAACTGGGAAAAGGGGGGGGGGGGGGGGGGGGGGGGGCGGCCCTTACCACCACCACCTCCGGCTAGGTACGCCCATGCTCATGCTCTATCTTGCCCGAGTGAATTCCCTTGCTGGCCAGTTTAAGGCAAACTTATTAATATATAGTACTTAAGTACTTGTGGCTAGTCTTAATATGTATTTTATTTCACGCAGAGGTTTTAGAGGTGATATGAGCAGGTGTTTTCAAGAGTAGATGAGCGGAAAAGTCCGCTTTTGTTGCACCAAAAGCCGGCTGTGTTTTTCACACTACTGAATTCTGCCGCTATCTGTTTTTGGAGGCTGAATCCACTTCCCTTTTTGGTCTAAACTAAAGAGGCAAGAAAATAAAATAAAATAAAAATGCTTTTTTATTCATTTGTTTTTTGTAACATTATGTCTCTGAATGCTCAGAAAGCTTCCCGACGTCCCAGAGTGCAAATAAAACCGAAACTGTTTGTTCTACTAGGTGATTATAATAGTTGTAGCTCCGCTTCAGACATAAAGCATTTATTTCGCGTTTCTCGGTATCTGCCCAATGAAATCAATGAAACGGTCACCCGATGTTTGTTCCTGGGAAAATACTCCTTTATTGTTGCTCATTGCATCCCTTCCCTTTCTTTTTTGGCTCTACGCTAGCGCTAGCATTCCCCCTGGCGTCTAGAGAAGACACCATCAATGGCCTCGTTTTGATTTCTGAACAGCCATATTTACATTGGCTGTGTTTTTATAGTAAGTATTTCTGTGCCATACAACCCTCTGAGCTATCGGATTTTCGTACTGACCCGGGAATCGCTCAAGGTAAGTTACCTGTACTCGTAACTTCGTTACACCCAGTACGTGCGAGAGACCGCCTAAAAATAACTGGCGAGTGCAAGCGGCTTGCTCCCGTCTGTGCTCCCTCAGGTCGGTGTTCGGCAGGCTGCCGGGCTGATTTGTTGTTCAACAAGCGCGTGATTCCGTTGACCCGAGCAAGGCTTAGTCCTGTTACTCAGGTAATCCTCGAAAATCGACTTTGAACGCTTTTTCTCGTCGGGGAATCGTGTAACATTCGGACGGTTCCGAGAGATATCCTCAACACTGTCTCTTCTTTGTCCGCCATTTTTCTCGTTTTAACTGGAAATCGTGCGTAAATGACAGTAGGATACCGCAGGTACTTCAGAGGAACGAAGAACTCGTAGGTTCCGATCCAAGTAAGCACAGTCATTCCACGCCTAAAGCGAACATGACGGGGTGATGTCATAAGCGCCGCGGCGCCCGCCGCGCCAGCCAAAAGATGGTCGGCAGTTGCCCCCCGCTTTCTCTTGTCGTTTGTCGAATTAAGCCTAGTTCTCGTTCAGCTGCCTCCCTTTTTTTTCGACGCGCGCCGGGACGGGCTCGAAAATGCTACTGAAACCGACGACAGTGTGTCGTCTATGAATCGGCTAGGACGTGCGGACTCGATCCGCGATCATGTCTGCCTCATGAGCAGCGTCGAGTCGATCAGAAAAGTGCTGTGATCGAGACGGGTTCCGGCACTCGGGACGGTCGCGTTAGCGCTTTCGAAATCTCCTTTTCGCCGAATGCCAAAAACCGGTGGGGGACGTTATTTATGCGGGCAGGTGCAAGCGCTGACGAGCTTGACGATCGAGCGGAGACCTTTTCGGTCCGGGGAGTACTCGTAGTCGCTTCTACGCGTCGGCATTCCGACCTCCCTTTTGGCGGCGGCTCGCGGTCAAGCGAGTGCGTCGCTGACGGCAGATCCGCTCTTCGTGCCGAGATCGATTTGTCAGTGGCGGTTTCGGAACGTAGTATAACAAATTGAGAGTGAAACGCGACGCCGCTCGCTCTTTTGTTTCAGGTTTCAGCCGACCGGAGAATACGGTGGCTGCGTAATTTTTCCTCTCGTTTGGCTGTCCCTTTTTGGGGTTGACGAAGTAGCTGCCTTGTCGGTCGCAGCGAGTTTTGAGTGGCACTCCCTTTGGCTTGTATGCGCTTTAAAATCCGGTCCGCGAGTTTCTTTCCGACGCATGTGAACAGGAAAAGAAAGAGACAAGGAGTCGCTCTTTCTTTTGCTTTTTTTCCCGAAGGTGGACCTTGGGCCGCGGGCGACCGTTTATCGACGCAGATATCTCGCTATCTGAGCCGCCGCCGTCGCTGCGTCGAGCGGCACAAGAAAGAGGTGAGCCGGTGAGCTGACCAGAATTCTCGGAAGTCGAGCGATTGGGCAGTCCTTCCGACGCGCCAACGTTGAGACACGCAGATATTTCTAATTATTCAATTTCGGCACATCCACATTGGCGCTTGGTCGGGTTTCTCTTATGCTTTCTGTGCCTCCTTTCGGCGACTCGGTCGCGTCTCGGTATCGGAGGCAAGCCTGTGCCGGTTCCAGCGAATCAGACCATTTGGTTTTTGTTTTTCTTTAAGGTTTTTTTTTTTATGTAGTCTACGCAGTTCAGTGAACCGCGGGGAAAAGGGCATTGTCACCTGTGCCGCAACTCGTGAAGCCGTCGGTAAATCTCTTGTTGCCGAGACGTTGTCGTCACGTAACAGTGATTCACCCGTTTTTGTGCACCAGCAAACTGGGTTTCTCCACTTACGTAGACGTGTTCTAGCGCACCTAATGCACTGAACGTTATTTAGAGAGCTTATCTACCACTAGGGCTATGCAGGGCTTATGGTCACCAAACCAGATGAGCTGGTGAGGTGAGTTGCCATGCAGGGTATTGCTGTGGTGAAAGGATGTATTGGGGCACAAGGGTTAAAGTTGGTCACTCAGTTCTGTATTTTCAGTCGGTGGGCATGTGTTGTGGCAGCACAGCTCGTGGCAGCAGTCTCTAGAACATCAGGTTTCATATCTCAGTGAGACTTACCTTGCACAAAACTAACTCCATGTACTAGAAATTCGACTTGTCTTGATGGAGTTGAGTGAATTTGACTATGATTAAGGATCGTGTCAATAACAAAAAAAGCGCCCCTGCCTCTTTGCCTTTGCTTTTTACTTATGCAAGTCCGCTGCAGGTCTTTGCCTCTCTCGAATATTTAGAAGACTCAATCATACATTAGTAAGGAACGCATAACCTCATTCTGTCCTTCAGGACTTTGAGCAACGATGCTTTAGTTTAATTTTTTTAACAGGTTTCAGAGCTTCCCTAAGACATTCATTATTGAGTCATCTTAATTGACTAAATTAAAAAAATATATATTACTGAAGAGCAGCTTCTTTCTGTCTTGAGATGTGCAATAAACAGAAGAAGTTAGTTTCACAAATAGAAGCCCTGGCTAATCCTACCGTAAAAGGTCGGGCAAGCGCCCACTCAAAATTTAGAAATAATCGCGAGAGAATGGGGTGATGGGCGCTTATCCGGTCATCAATTTCACACATAAATGTACTGCACATATTTTCTCAGATCTTACAAATTTGGGAATGGGCGGATGCGCGGTATTCTACGATAGGTGTATCAGATTTACAAGAATGCATTTGCTGAGCTGTCTGCCCCTACAGTGATTGTGCCTCGCAACCTGTAAGATGGACAACTTGGTGCTACATTCTCTTGTTTGTTTTATTGTTTCACTTAAAGTCATTAAATCCTGCATAGCTCTTTGTTGCAGGTTAGCCTACTATGTGTACGACATCTGTGACATCAGCTTGTCAGTAGTGTGCACAGTTAACAATAAAAATGGGTTCTCCCTTCATGTATTTTGGGGAGTAAGGAGGATACTTCTTATGGGGGGAGGAAGCATCGTTCGCTAAAAACTGGGAGCATGAGTGTTTCATTTAAGTTCTTAAAGAGCACTGACACATCAGAAGAAAAAAAAATTATTTTGCATGAAACAATGTTGTAAAAATGTCCCCCCCCCCTTATAATTTATTTTTGCTGCGAATTCTCATTTCCGTTGAGAAGCCAAGTGCTCTATGACCTAAGAGACCCTTGCACCATTCAAACCTAATGAATCGAACCGAAACCGCTGTACCAGAGCAGGGGATTGTGACGTCCAAGATTCTGAGAGTTGCCAGGAATCGCTTGCATTATTTTACTTAATCCCCCTCAGCTATGTGTTCTCTGTCTCCTCGAAAGAATTCGTTTTGGGCGTTTAAATGGTTGCTAATGTTATGTTTTATGGATTATATTATATTTATTAACAGAAATGTGCCACAAACAACCTATTACTTTTCAAATATCTTGTGCTTTGTTGAGCCCTTATGGTTTGTGTTCCTGTAAAAACCTAGGCATACTGAAATGCCTTATCAGTGCCCTCCAATGGTCCTTTCGACAAAGTTGCTGCCCACTTCTCCGCTGTCAAGTTCATAGCTTTTGAAGGGGCCTAAACACTCGCATAGAAAGACTGCCTTTCAAAGCTAACTGGTCGGGCTTGCTACATTTGCGGTTGTCCAAACGATATAGGCATGTTGCAACTGTGAATGCGCTTTTTGTTTTCGTTGTGTAGCACGCCCATCTTCCACGGCAATGAACTTGTGTGTGCTCGTAAATGATCAGATGTGTTAGACAGAAGTCATGTTGAAGGTACTCTTTCAGGGCAATTGCATCTCTTGTTAACTAAAGGTGTTCTTGGAATTACATTTCTGGCAGATAGTGAACCCTGAGATGGGGATGACAAAAATAAAATGGACATAACGACACAAACTGCTTTGTTTTACCTGTTTTTTTTAATCATCTTTCATGTCTTGAGGCTTTCAAGTATGTCGTTTTTTAACCAGCTTACCTGCACTCCCTTCCTTCTGACAAGCTTCTGGTTGTCTACAGTCATGAACTAGGCAGTGTGTGGATCACCTAGCGTGGCATTCTTAAAGTTGGTTCAGTTCTTTTGGAGGACAAGCCTTTTACAATCTAACCCAATTTCTCATTAGGTAGAGCACAACACATGCCAATAGATTGTTTCATCTCTGCTTTTACTTTGCATTTTATATATATATATATATATATATATATATATATATATATATATATATATATATTTTTTTTTTTTTGTGCAGTTTTTGGTTTATTTAGTGTTACATCATAGACAACCATTTCTTTGAATGGAATAGATTCCCCTTGCAGTCATTAACCTTGTTTCTGTACGTTTGTTAAAAGCACAAGCGTGCTTTGTGCTGTTATCCTTTACTGTTATTTATTTTGTTCCTCTAAAGCCTATTGGCAATACATTAGAGAGAGGGGGAGGGGCTACTACACAATTTGATTATAAACAAAGTGGTGAAAGCTATAGATGTGTGGCAAATTAACTCAACATTCTCAATATTTACTGAATACAAACTTTTTACACAAACACGGATCAAGCAATCACTTGCACAGAAAATGTTCATATCTCAAATATTCCAAAATAGAACCCAAAACATTAAAGTCATTAGAAAAACACCAGATTTTATACTGTCACATATTTTTGTATATGGTTGTTAATTCTGTGTGAAAACAATTGGAATTGGAGATAGTAACAATCTGGGAACATTGTTCCAGTAGACCAACCCACAGATGTACTTGCAGCTCTTGGTGTTCAAGATTCTTTATTAAGGGGTTGTAGAAGTGAAGTGTCCATTTCAGAGGGGCTCTTGCGTATCCTGTGGATTAAACATTCAAGGAAAATTGTGCTTTGCATTTCCACCAAACAAATGGAATCATTTTGTTCTGTTAGCAATAAACCGTGGAGATGGGAATATGACGATGAAATGAATGGGGCAGCTCAATCCTGAAAAGGATTAATTTGATTCATTGGATAGGTTTGGTGATAAGCCGTAGTTACCAGAGGCGTATTCTACATAATTCGTGGCAGACATACATTTGATAGAAACACTTTCGCGGGTAGGGAAGTGCAGATTTCACTTTCGGCATCTGAACTTATCTGCGTGAGGACGGTACGAATAGAATGCTCGTGAGGTGTACCCATTATAACAAGTGCTGGCTCATTGTGCCCTGAGGAGTTCCAATCATTTTGTTTCAGTTGTGTCACTGTTCCTTTTGTTTATCTCATATTTCGTGCTCATGTCTTTAGCACCTATAATCATGCTGTACAGTAGAGAAAGAAAAAAAATGAGAGCAACTTTTTATTTTGTTTATTTTCTACTTGCAGCCGCAAGTCCACCTTTTCTCACGGTTTCTGTGGCACCCTGAGAGGATGGAGTTCGGCTAGGGGGGTTGGGGGGCACCGCGGGATAGAGGAGCGCATCGTCTGAATTGGGACGCCATGTTGTCCCCCCGAGCGGGGCGGAGGGGGTCCCGTGCACTCCAGCAACCATGAGGGAGCAGCACCACCACCATGGCGAAGGGGGGGGCCATCCGGCATGGTCCCCCCAGGGTAGCCTGTCGATGACGCACGCCAAGTGGGTGCTGGAGGCCATCCGCAAGATCAAGGCGCAGAAGCAGCGACCCTCCCTGGACCGCATCTGTCACGTCGTGGCGCTGGCGCACCGCCTCGGGCGCGACCCCGTGGAGCGCGCCCTCGACCAGGCCGTGGCACGGGGCTTTGTGCTCAAGGTCAGTGCCCCGGAGATCTCCCACTTTTCTCCTGCTAGGAGCTATGGTCACTGGCAGGGGGAGAAACATATCTTTTCAAATGCCCAGCCTCCAGCATGTGCTCGTTGCCTTTTGCTGCGTGCCTTGCCTTAACTGCAGGTACATGCTCGAGGCTCTAGGCTCGCAAGGCGCTTAGGCTAGCTTGATATCACGCTTGTCCGTGTGTACTCGTGCCTGCGGAAGATGTAGGAGTGTCCTCGAACTGTGCCCCTGACGACTTTCTTTTTACCCCGACTTTCTGTTCTTTCGAGTCGTAGCTTTAGCAACACAGAGAGACCAAATTTGATGTCATTTAGCTAAATCTAGGTTCCTTGCTAGGTTTTGGCATCGAGTTTGATTCGAACGTCTCGATCATTAGTCTGTTGTGCAGAAAGGGGGGGAAAAAACGCTAGCTTTGCAGTTTCGGGGCATTTTTCCGACGAAGGATTTTCGGCAAAGCGAAACCCTCGGTCCAAAGGTGTGGCACGAATATTGAGGTACTCTGCTTGCTGTGGGCTACGGCTTTTCCTGTCCAAACGGTTTAGCGACAGCAGTTCTGTTGGCATCATTTTCACGGGGCAGTCGCAAGAGAGTCAGAAGAGAGAACTGCTGCGCTTGGCGGTCGCTCGCTCCCCGCCGTCATACAACAAATGGTACGAGAATTCGGCCATCTTGGCAGTCATTCCTAAATAGGTAACGAATGGCAATAGACCTATTGCTAAATTACCAAAGCCTCAAGGAGAATGCAGGGATTAGTGTTCCACGTGCCGCACATGCTGGCCTCGGCAGTAGTAACATTTCTAAAGCAAATGCCTAAAACAAATTGCATCTTGCATGCGCGTTCGTCACCTCTTTATTTTGGTTGTTTAGTTTGAATCTTTTATACGGGGAAGGCGTGTGCGAGTGGTGCGTAGAACACCAATCTCTGCATTCTCCTTGATGCTTGGGTAACTTAGCAATAGGTCTATTAAATGCAATGCAAAACTAATCTGCAGACACTATCAGCAGCACACGGTGCATGCCGCCAGGAGGCAACTCTTTTCGTTTGTCGGAAAATTCGTTGTTTGGTCAAATATCGGGCTGTTGTTCCGTACAGGCAATCGTCGAATCGAGTGAGAATGGAACATAATCGTCCGAAACATTCTGCATACTTGTTTGCTAAGTGGAACGACGTCGAGAAAACAATGCCCTGCCTTGTGCTTCAAAACCCTTGCAGAAGATAAACTCGGCCCTTTTTACCTCGGAGACGGGGGACACCGCAAGTTTGGTTTGATGTTTCCGTCACAGCTGCGTCTACCGCGTCCCTGGAACTTTTTCGGTCGAAAGATGTTTAGTTCTGCATGCGAAGTACTTGGCTCACTCCACTGTTTTTGTTGTGTCCTTCCTGGGGCTCCTGCGGTTGCTATTTTTAATATCGGCAAGGAAAGGTCCAATGGTGTCTTGCCGGCTCTGTCTGTTGGCATGCTCGCCAGGAAGCTTCCGGGCAGGGGCTGTCTGAGAAGCTGGCGGGACGGTGCAGGGGTGTCAATTTGCGACTTACCCATTTGGCCGTCGTTTTAACAGTGGCGGTACTTGGGAGCAAAAGGCCTTTTATCTTTGGCTCGTGGCAGAATTATGGGATCGGGGAATTGCGAGTTTGCCGTTCAGACCTTGGTAATGGGCGTGCAGTGCTGCATTTATTTCTGAATTGCAGCCGACAGGAAGGGGTGGAAGCTTTCCCATGTCAAGGGGGATGGCAACTTTTCTTGAATGGTATTTGCGCTTCTGTTCTTTGAGGTTCTATTCATGCTCTCTTATTTGATGCAAGAAGCAACACTGTTTGCTTTTTGCATCACAAAAATTCATAAAAATCTGTGAACAAGAAGTCTTGTTAGATTTGTCTGAATTACACTACATTCCAGGTAATAGAATGAACCTGATGCAGATTACCTTTTTCCTATCTGGACCTTCATACAATAGATCAAATTTTGTTTTACGGAGGATGTCGCTGATAGCCGACGGTGGAGTTTGGGTCAAAAAGTTATTGTCACCTCATTCTTTCTTTTAATGACTTGGCAAGCGGACACCTTGTATTGGATGTTTGGACTCCGTTACCAAACACCTTTAGAGAAACAATTAGAGTTAGTTTCGTTTTGCCTGGGATGTGACGGGAATAGTTCTAAAAATACAAAGAGTAGTTGTTTCTCATTCATAGAAACTACTTTGTCCTCTGCCTGTACAATGTGAATAATGGATTACAAAGCAAATTGAGCCAGGAAAAAAGTGTGGGGTACATTCATTCTCCTTTGGAGCTGCTGATTGAAGTTGGAATTGGATTTACAGTGCATTTGTAAACTGAACACATCAAATAAAAGTTTGATATATCAGTTTTTTGCTCTTTGTAGTTAACTGCACTGTTCATACCTGACGTCACTCAAAAGTCTCTGCTTTCAAGCAAGATTCATTTTGTATGCGAAAGTAAAAGGCAGTGCTCTCTTTTTAGTGTTCTCATTATATACCCCAATATGGGGCTTTCTTGCCTCCTCCTCTTGCAGCTTTCCAACTGCTGCAGTAATGATTGCTATTGTCACTTTCCTACGTGTGTTGTTCCTTTATTGTTGTGTAAATGGTAACATAAACTGCGTGAGTACTTTTATTTTTGTAAAGTAACTTGGGCCTCTGAGAAATTCGGAAACTCCCAAATATAACATATATTTTGTATTCTTTACAACTTCTGTGAAGAATCGAAGTTCTTTCAATTAAGAAAATATTTTGGTAAAGTATGGTTATTAAAGGAGCTGTGCAACAATTTCAGGGCTTTGCTTAAATAATTGTGGAAGTTGATGCCTGACACTTCTGCAGTGAACTACAGAAAACAGATTTTGCCTGGATATCCTCCTAATTTTTATTTAAAAAAATGAAAAAGATCCAGGTTTTTGCCGCCTCTCAACTCGTACATCGTTTTCCGGGTCACGTGCGCAGTGACGTCACTTGACTAGGCACGGGGTTCCGGAAAAGTCCTCTCTTTAGAGCCATCAGCGAGCAGCGAGAACTCATCCGCTCGCGACCACGTGACCACGTGCTGGCGGGCGCCCCACGAAATATACGGTGAAAGGAGGAAAGTCTCATCCGGGTCCGGCCATACCCGTCCTTGCCCATCCGGCGCTGTCCCCTTCCCCTTCTGGCGGCTATTCGCGGTTCCAACATATATATAAATGCGTCAAAACCAGGGTTTTGACGCATTTATATATATGTTGGAACGACAAGATTTATAGAAAAGTTACCTTTTATGGAGCAGGTATTCGCACAACTTGCTATCTTTTTTACAACTACCCAAGTGACGTCACGCCGCTTGTTTCTCATGGCCGCCGCTCGTGGCTGCAGGTCGGGAAATATTCTAAGTTTTGCCTCGCTATTACACGGCGGAATCGCAACATTTCGATGAAAGGAGGTGTGTTTTCGATGAAAGGAGGTGTGAACAATATCAAAAGCAGAAAATGCCAATTCTTTTAACGTTAAAATCAATGCACAGCTCCTTTAAATGACTAACCTAACTCTTTTCTTTTTTTTTTAAGTGTGAGGAGTTGCAAGGAGGGCAATTTATTTTTGCATCTCTCTGGTACATCACATCTGACCGAGGCTTACTGATAAAAGATGTCTTGTAACTGAGATTTTGTTGCACATCTATAAAAGATCCCTAGGTGGTCAAAAATAATCCTCAGTCCTCCGCTGAGGCTTGCCAATACCCTTCGTTGGTTTGGCACGTAAACTCCCAAATTTTCCTCTTTTTTTTTTTACATCGTGCACCACACACACACACACCTTTTTTTCTCGTCTAGCATCGAACTTTCCGTTCTCCGACCCCTTCATTCTTTTTCTCCCACAGCTGATGAGCAAGGGCCAGTGCTCCTACAAGGACGCAGAGACCCTGAAGCAGGCACTGAAGAAGAAGGTGGTTGCGGGGCACCACCAGCACCACCACCACCAGCACAGCGCACCGTCGGCAACCACCAACCACAAGACGCGGGCGGCGGCTGTGGCGGCAGCGGCGGCCATCGGTGCCTCGGGCAGCCACCACCGGCGGCAGGACCTTACTCTGTACGTGATCGAGGCCGTGCGCAGGCTCGGGGAACGGGAGGGCTCGACCCTGCGCGCCATCCACAAGTTTGTGCGCCAGACTCTGGGCCTGGAGCCCCCCGGCGTGCGGCTGGCGGTGAAGCGCGCGGTGTCGGCGGGGCGGCTGGTGCGCGTGGGACGCTTGTACCGCCTGCCGGGAGACGACGACGAGAGCGACGAGTCTGACAGCGACTCGGACGAGGACTGCGGGGGACGCCTGGCGACCACCCAGAACGGGGAGGTGGGCGGCAGGGGCAGTCCGAACAAGGTAAGCGACGTCAACCGTCTTGCCGGTTGGTGGCTCGTCTCTTGAGAGCGTGAACGGTGGCGACAGCGCAGGCGGCACCGTTTTCTGCCAATCTTTTTTCACTCTGTCCGTGCCTTTGCACGGCTTTTTAAGACCAAACGAGGTAATGTTTCTGTTGCCGCGTCGTTTGGGCTGCTTTGTCGTCCTGTCTCGTTGGTGCTGCGTTGATTTTGGTCTTGGGCACTTGGCACGAATACTACGTCGACGCTTCCTTGGGTTTTACTTCCAAGGGGTACTGGCAGGTACCCGAGTTTACCGCTTGGGTTGTTACCAGGACGACGCTTGTTTGTCGCCGCCACATGCACGCTTTTACCGAACTAGTCCTTTGACAACAAGTTTTGGATTGTAAGAGAAACCTGGAAATGCCGGCAATCGCTCGTTGGTGGGAGCAGTGTTGTACCGTGTACATGCGGCGTAGAGCGGCGTTTTGCGTTTGTGTCATAAAGTTTAAGCATTTGGAAACAATTTGTTACTCGCAATAATTAATGTAGGGTTTGTGGAGTGGTGTGTTATATGTGTAGATTGCATAATGTAGTTGCCTCGAAATATTTCGAGAAATCGAACTTTAGAAAATTTGTAAAATTTTAAGCCTCGGTGTATGTCGCCGCTACAGTGTACCACATTGTTGACAAAACATGTATTCCATAGCGAGGCCCCTGGTGCAATTGGATATTGTGAGCAACAGCCTGATGGGACTGTGACGTTGATGTGTATTAATGATATTCCTTGCATAACCGCCCAACAGACACACCTTTATAGAAGTGTTGAAAAGCTGACACTAGCAGAGGCAAGACATCTCTTTTCTAAACACGACACAGCCTGGCAGATCTGCTGTGGGCAAAAGCATTTGGGAAATCGGTGATAATTTCATGTTTGCACATCATTTTCAGACACTTTGAAAAGGAAGTTGTCTATTGCTCGCAGAGGTTGGGCTGGGTGCTCAACAAAATGTATGAAAGGGGTGTCCAAACATTATACTTTAGAATGCATAAAGTGACATTTCTCCATCATATGAGGTGAAAGTTTAAGTCTGGCAGTCTGTCTTCTGCTTGGACATCCACTAGGCAGCTCTTTTTCTTGCCTTTGCACTTTATATGGCGAAGACGTGTCGCTTCACGCGTTCTTAAGGTGTCCTGTTTGGACGGCCCCTAATCGAGGAACCATGGAACACACCGAAGAGATTTGAAAATCGTCAGGCATTCCACCCACTTCTCTCGTAGCCCTCAACAGCGCGGGCTGATAAGATTGCTAAGCAAGGAATACGTGGAGCCGCCAGCGACCGCTTCTTTTCGTGCTTCCGAAATTTCTGCTGCTCAAACGTTTTTGGATGCAATGCCACCGGGACATCCCTTCAGACACCACTTACATTGCCCCTCGAGTCACTCACAACAGTCTGCTGCGTTCGTCGTTCCCCTTCTGCGTCGTAGGGGCCTTATCAGGGCCTTATCAGCATTGTTCCCGAAGATTGTGTTATCGGCGCCGTTATCCATTGGACAATGCCTTCAGCTGACCCGTCGTGAATAACGCCTTTCAATGAGCTCGAACCCATTGGCGTAAGACTATCTGCGTTCCTGATTTAATTATTTGTATTGCTAACGTAGCCATTACTCTCTGTAACGTGTGGTTAGCTGTCCAGCATGTCTAGAAAGGAGCTTTATGCGCTTCGAAATGCAACTTCCCTAAAGCCTCGCAATGGCCACCAGTGTTTCGCTATGAGGCTTCTAAGTGTCCTAGCGAATTGTCAGTTGCCGCTCTGAAGTTTCCGGAAGGTTCGTTTTTGTGTTCCTTTTACCAGCATTTTTTTTTTATGTTTGTGCTCTGTTGAATAAGCGCAGTGGGGCACCTCTACTTCTTCCAAGTGTGCTTGGTGCTTGTTGGTGAAAGAAGGCAAATTTGCGAGCTGATTTTCCGTTGCTAAGCGTTGCCGACTGGTGGCAGTTGGTGGTGATGGGTTTTCTACTTCGCGTTTCAGCGGAGATCCGTGTTGCACGGGCGATGTAGCCTGTGCCACGGTACGCCAAGGAACAACAAGAACGGCGTGGCCGAGGAAATCCTCTGCTGCTACTCCTGCAACTACCTGGGTGAGTTTCCTTCGTATCGATGAACGAAGAGGGTGCTCGCACAGGTCAGTATTAAAGAAAGAATAAATATGTAGCACAAAGGAAACAACCACA